TACCAGAAAATGTGATGAAATCATTAACTTTTTTGGCCAAATTTTGGGGGTTGATGACGGATACTGAACAGGAACGTTTGATCGCCAAATATCTGGGACAGTATACTGACCTTTTTATCAAAGCTGAGGTCGCGAGGAAGCGTAAGGAGAATGATAGCTGTGTGTCGTTCACGCTCCGGTATTCCAAGTTTTCGCAGCAATAATCTGGCTTTCCATCCGTCATAAAACTTGGAAAAATCAGTTCTTGAAGAACTCTTCGTACCGATTGAACCGGGAGTCAAAAATGTGACCAGTGAGAGGGTCGAATAGGAACCCCGTTATTGAGGCAGCGACCGCATCTGTTGAGGAAACAAGACTCAGCTTAGTTCTCGGTCTGAGCCTCCCAAGCTAGCGTTCACGTGGAAACAACAAACGAAAGTGTACAATATATAATAACGCCCAAAATAAAGTTAAAAACACCTGTACAACGCTTCATATATATAGTGTAAGCGGCGACCATTTTCCGGAAATTCTGACCCCATTGGCAACCGGCATTCGGCCACTACTGGGACACCCTAATCCGTTCACACTTATCGCAGAGGACAGTACGACTTTCTCCCCAGACTGCCTCGTAGCACGATTACTCTTAGTACGGAGTCTTGCTGCTCTTGGGCGTACTGCTCTGGCCCTTCTGGCATGGCTGCACTTTGTGGAGCGAAGTCCCAGCCAATGTACCCTGCGGTACTCAAGCCCGATTACCACATCAGGGTGGCAGCTTTAGGTCGGTACTCTATGGGCGCGATTCAAGCATGTACCCAGTCATTTAAGGTTTGATCACCATTTTGTCGCTAACGAGCGTGTCGTAATCGACATACGGCTATCGTCGTCTCAATACATATCCTCTTATCCAAGGATCCCCCTACATAACTCGGTACCTTAATATTTTTTTAGTTCTGCCATAACGCTCTTTCGGTGCCTCGCTTCCATGCCATCCGAAAGAAGCACCGAAACTGAGGTCATGCGAGGTTGTCCAAGTATATACAGGCGCAGTCGAGATGTGAAGTGAGGAACTTTCGATCGGTAGCTTCGTGTCTTAAACATTTAATATTTTTTGAAGCAGCGCGACTGGCTGCTTGGAAAGGCAGTCCTGTCAACCCATGTTTAACTGCCTTTGCGTCTTGGTAACCACGTCATGAGGTGGAGGGAGCTGGCTTTGCGTCACACTGCCGTAGAATACCATGATTTTTCTTGGTGTCGATCCCGGCTGAATGACTAATTTTAGCGAGCGAAGTTTAGTTTCCCACTAAGCTAGTACCATGTACTTATTATCTACTCTGAAGGGACCGCAGCTGGATTTCTAGTCATTGGTCACTACGGGAGAGAGTCTAACTTCTGGACTTGTTGCCGCCGGCTATTGCTGGCATCAAAGTCCGTTTGAAAAATTCGTGAATCGCCTGCAACG